AAAAGACTGGAATCCCCTTTTAGTACATTTGTGCTGACAACTGCAGTTTTCTGTCAAAAGCATTGCTGCTTTTTTAAAACTTTTTATTGTATTTGAAACAATTTTAGGGTTTATTTTTTTCAGAAAAGTTGCAAAAATGGTAGAATTTCTATTTTGTTTTTTTAATTTACTGAAATTTACATTTATTTCTTTATTTGTGGCACATGGCCTGTACCACAGATACACGTGTAGAGTTTAGAGGCCAACTTGCAAGAGTCTGTTCTCTCCTTCTACCATGTGGTTTCCAGGGATCAAACTCAGATCATCAAGTTTGGCAGCAAGTACCTTTACCTGCTGAACCATCTAACTAGCCCTTGTTTTAGTTTTGGTTTTGAGACAGGGCTTCATGCCACCCAGGTTGGCCTCAAACTTGCTATCCTAAAATGATAGAGTCCTATGTATTATGATTCTCAACTGAAGATCATATTGTCCCCTCTGTGGGATAATTATGCCTAACATTGAGTAGGAGGAGGCCAAGGATGCTGTAAGGACCCGACAATGCTGTACAATGAGCCCTATAGCAGAGAATTATCTGGCCCCAAATGAAAGTTATGCAAGGCAGAGAGGATACCTTTCCATATCCCCTACACCCAGCTTCCTATATATTAACATCTTACACAGCTATAGTACAGTGACAGAAATCAGCATCGATACAATATTGCTAATTAATCTGTAGATCATATTCAACTTTGCTCGTTTTCTTATATGTTCTTTTATTCTTTAAGTGTGTGTGTGTGTGTGTGTGTGTGTGTGTGTGTGTGGTGTACATGCACAGGCCAGAAGAGAGCATCAGATCCCTTGGAGTTAGTAGCTGTGATCCACCTGATGTGGGTGCTGGTAGTCAAACTCTAGTCCTCTGCAAGAGCAGCAAATGCTCATAACCAGCAAGCTATATCTGTCATCCCTCCCCCCAAAACAAAAAAATTATGCTTCCAATTGGTTTTTCTTATCTGATTGTACTCACTGATAATTTGATACAGTATGAATAGTAACAGAAACTAGCATTTTTATCTTGTTCCTAATCTTAGTGGAAATGTCTTTAGTGTTTCTCTCTTGAATATGATACTAACTTTAGCACTAAGGCATATTATTATTATTATATTAGGAAAGTGTCTCTCAGGGGCCAGAGAGAGATGGCTCAGCAGTTAAGAGCACTGGCTGCTCCTATAGAGGACCTGGGTTTGTTTCCCAGCACCTACATGGTAGCTAACAACCATCCTTAACTCCAATTCCAGGGGATCCAACACCTTCTTCTGACCTCCATGGGCATTGCACGACATGGGTGCACTTATATATATGCAGGCAAAACACTCATACACATAAAATAAATTTTTAAAAAGTTAAAAAAATATTTTTATTGAGTTTTGTGCATTTCTTATAATAGATCTTAATCAAATTTAGATCCCCTCCCCCATCCATGCTCCCCATAACCCCCTGCCCCCACTAGATTTCATGCATTCCATCATATATGTTAAGTCCTATTTGGTCAACCATTTGTACCCAGATGTCCCTTGGTGCAAGTTCGTCCACTGGAGTCTACTTAGCCTATCTAGAGGCAGTCCCTTAAAGAAGACATACTTTCCCTCATCCCCCAGTAATCAGTTGCCAATAGTTCTTTGGCTAGGGTTGGGGCCTGCCTCCCATTTCCCTTGTTCTGTGCTGGTTTTTGTCTGATTGAATCAGTATAGGTCTTGTGCATGCTGTCACCATTGTTGTAAGTTCATATGAGCAAGTTCCCAGTGACCTGAAATCCTGTTTCCTCATGTTCATGTACCAACCCTGGCTCTTAGAATCTTTCTAGCCCCTCTTTCACAATGGTCCCTGAGCCGTGGGTGGGTGAGGTTTAATATAGGACTCCTGTCCAAGGACACACACTCTACAGTCTATTATCCTCTACTCCTTGGTCAATTGTGGCCTTCTGTGTGCATTGCACTCTGCTGTATGAGGAAGCTTTGCTGGTAAGAGTTGAAAGACGTATTAGTATTCTCGCTATGCCCTATGTTCCATTAGCCTTAGGTGTAGAAGTTCCACTGTAGATGTATCACTTGAGGCTGGGCATCTCTCAGACACATATTCTCTGTGTGTGACCAGTTGTAGAACTCTGTAATAGCTTCCATCTGTTGCAAAAAGAAGCTTCTTTGATGAGTGGTATATGGTATACTTGTCTGTAAATATAAGGATCCATATTTAGCAAACAGTAAATTTTATTTGTCTAGAGATATGACAGAGATTGAGTTTTCTCTAGGGTCTATGACCTCTTCAGCCATGTGTATTTACTATATTTACAGTGACACCCATGAGTTTTCTCCCATTGAGAGGGATTTAAGTCCAGTTAGATAGCTGTTGATTATCTCCTAGATAAAAATGCCACTACTGCACCAATAGAGATAGTTTGCTGTGCCAGCCAATGTGGTTATTAGACTTTGGAGCTGGATTGAACGGTTGATTGATTTTCTCCCTTAGCAGCTTGCATTGTATCCTCTAAAACTATGAGAGCTAGTCTTCAAGGAGAAGGCTTCCAGGTCAGTTCCAGCTCCTCTGCTCCAAGTCTTGTGTCTGAAGTATGTCCTGTCTTCAGCAATAGGGTTGGTCTTACCTTCAAGTTCTGGGAGGTAATCAGGGACTGTGGCAATAGCCTGTGTTATTTTGGGAGTCTTTGGACTACACTGACCAACAACTTAAAGGGAGGTCTGTCCTGTCTGGTAATGTGTTCCTTGTTACATTCCCTTCAGATACACACATGCACTCATTTTCAGATATTGTATGTGTATTTTTCGGGGGGGGGGCGTGAGTTAATTAACTTCCCTCTGGCTTTTTATACCACCTAAGCTTTATTTATCTTTCCTCTCTCTCTCCCTGTCTAATCTCCTTCCTCCCTTCCCAGTTTAAGTGCCCCATTTCCCCTTGGTAATACCTATTTCCTATTATCCCCCCTCTCTTGAGTTCCTTCTTCTCTTTTAATCCCTTTGTTCCTTGTATGTCCTTCCCTCCTCCCTTCCCACTTGAATACCCCCATTTTCCCCATTTCCCCCTTCAAAAAAGTTTTTAAAAAAAGAAAATATGTTTCAATTTTTTTCTTACTGATTTTAATATGAGCATTAATATTTTAAATTCTCATCTACAGTAAACTGAAATATATTGAAAATTGAAAAATATCAAATGATTAATAGGTTTGTCTAAAGGGGAGATTTTTATTTACGTGATTCAGTACTCTAGCCTCTTCAACATTTTTATTAATGATTTGAATATTAACTTCCAACATCATAAGGTGAAAGAAAAACTAATATGTGACCAAATCAGGATTCAAAAAGCAGTAGGCAGCCAGGCATGGTGGTGCATCCCTTTAATCCCAACTCTCTCCAAAAGTAGGGACAAGCGGATCTCTGTGAGGTCAAGGCCAACTCCATAGTAAGTTCCAGGCCAGCTGGGGCTACAGGGAGACCCTGTCTCAAAAGACCAAACAAAAAGCAGTAGGTTTGGGGATATAGCTCAGTGGTAGAGTACTTACCTAACATGCATGAGGCCCTGGGTTGAATTCCCTGGCACCACAAAATAATGAGGACAGCCAGCAGCAGCAAAAACAAGTAGACCAGATATATCCCAGAAAACCCTCTTAAAAACATCAAAATTAGGGTTATATATTAAAGCCTGCAGTAGGTATTTAAAAACATCAATTATACCAAGACTACAGGGTGGGAAATCAAGTTTGTGTTTCATATGGAGTAAAGTAGTTGGCTTGTGCCGGTATGAAACACAGATCTTAAAGGAAAGGAAATAGTGCATATAACACCATTGCCTACATTAGAAGAAGTGAAGGGAATTCAAGGGAGATTATAGTCCTATTGTTTATGCTGTTCTCTCCATATTGGAGTTGTACTCTCCTTTATGCTGGGTTCTGTATCTAGAGTTGCAGTCTTGATGAAGTGGGATATGTAACACAAGTTTTAGGGTATAGGGATAAAGATTAGAGACACTCTCCATTTAAAAAATTTTGCTTTGGGTGGATATTTTGCAATTAATGTAATCTGTTTATACAGAAACACATGTTTATAATTTGAAAATAAGGTATATGGGGGATGCATAAAAAGTTGAGTGTTGGGTCTGGAGAGATGGCTCAGTGGTTAAGAGCACTGGCTGTTCTTGCAGAAGGCCCAAGTTTAGTTCCCAGCACGTACTTGGAGTCTAGCAACCATCCTTAACTCTAGTTCCAGGGGATCCAGTGCCCTCTTCCGACCTCCAAGGGCATTGCATGACATGGGTGCACTTACATACATGCAGGCAATACACTCATACACATAAAATAAAAATAATAAATAAAATATTTTTTAAAAAGTTGAGTGTTAGAAACATGAGCATGATAACCTGGGGTACATGGAAAACTAGCAGGTTAGTAAGACACCTGACAACCACAGTGTATGAAGATAGTTGAAGGGTTTTGATCTAAAAATAACAGAATTTAAAGGAAAAGCTAGATATTGTAAGAGGCATATGCTGTTTT